GGAGGATCTGCTCCCCAGCCACTGGCTTCCTTGGCCTGTAAGGCCACAGGACCAGCCTGAACTGCACCTCCTCCTACAAAGTCTGAGCAGCCCTCTCAGCTCAGTCCTCCAGCTCCTGTCCAGTCAGAGGACAAGGAAGGGTCCCAAAGGATCTGCTAGAGCCAAATGCTAGACAACCCGTACTTCCTCATCCGGGAATATCTCATCTTCTGGGAACCTACCCAAAGAAGTAAACCTTGATACACAAAGATCTACCTGTTGCATCACTGTCTAGAATGGTAAATAATTGGCAGTGACGTTAATGTGTAACTACAGAAGATTTGATAAACAAATCATGCATGTCCACCAAACCCAAAAGCTGGAGGACTATGCAGTCATTGAAAATGTTTTGAAGACAAGGAAATCACACCCACAACCACACATGCTCAAAATAAAATTATGTTGAAAGGGAGGGGGCAGGTCACACAACAATGTGAATGTACTTAACACACCTAGACTGCACACGTAAAATTATTAAGATGGTAAATTTCATATTAGGTGTATTTGACCATGATTAAAAATAAAATTTGAAATGCAAGGAGAAGGGTGGGGGAGAATACGAAACCAAGTGGACAACATGCTCACACCTACGTAAGATAATCTTAGAGAAACAATGCAATCTTACCAGTTGTCTCGGTGTGATGAGACAACTAAGGTCGCTTTATTCCTGTTTTTCTCTATTTTTTTATTTTCCTTTTAGGATCTTATATGTGCTGCTTTTGTTTATTTAGAAGGTATGTTCGTGGCTTTAAGTGCCTAGACCAGAACAGGTGCCCAGTGAACACCAGCCTTTCCTGATTTTCCATGCGGCCCTGGGACCGCTGCTGGCAGGTCCTTAGGTGGGGGGACAAGCAGTTTTAGGATAGGCAAAAATGGGGCCCCTCTCTGTAGCTTCCTAAATGAGGAACCTCAGAATCTCAGAACTGGGAAGGGGAAGAGGCAACAGCTGCTGAGTGGACACATGGGGGAGGGGTGAGCCCAGACTCAGCCCCCTGTGCCTCCCTGGTAATTCGACCCCCCACCCAGGGAATATTACCTGCCTCTGGCCTCTGTCTGTTGGGGTCCTCAGCTCCTCCCAGCTTGGCACAGAGGTTTCCAGATGAAAAGAGGAGAGATGGGACCACAAATCAGAAGGAAACGTTTAATTCTGTCCTCTTTGTCCCCTTTAATGGTTCCTGCCTAAAGGTAGGGGCGCTGGTGAAAGGTCACTGTAATATCTCTGGCCCAGCCTCCTCAGGCCCTTACTTTTCCTTTTAATGACCCCAAAAAGGATAGGATATGAATCTTAGTAAAACCTGGTCCAGGAATAGAAATTCCCTCTTAAAACAGTATACAGTGACTTCCTGGCAAAGGCCATTGGACTTATTGATCAGGGAGAGAGTGAGACAGCGGGAGGAAAAGGCACACCAAAGAGCCCTGTTCCTCTTGGTACACGGGGCCAACTCATGGAATTCGGAGTATCAGGGAAACTCAGTTCCCATCACGGGATGGAGACTTCTACGAGGACAAAACGGTCTCATTCATCTGATGAGATGTAGTACGAGGCTCAGGGATCCAGTTTAAATCACCTCATAGAGAACCCTGCTTAACAAATATTTGTAGAACATAACTAAACTGAAATGGTGGAGAAAATTGGTTCAGGAAGGCAGGTGAGACCATAGAGATATTCCGTTTGGTCATTTATTGTACAAACCGTGACTGAGCACGTACTCTACTTGCCAGTCCTGTGTGGAGGATGTGCGCATATTTGTTGTATTACAGTTTGGTTGTCTGCTGGGAGCAGAGCCACTGGTGAGGAGAGCCGTATGTGTAGGAGGGGTATGGGGGAAGCTCCCCACCTCCTCTGGGCTTCAAGGCCCCTCTGACTTGGTGCGAGGCAGGTTATAGGAGATCTAAATTCTTCCCAGCTCAAGCAGCAACTGCGTTCTCAGTCTCACCCTTGTCTCACTGACAGGCTCTGTTCTGAGGCTCAGCCACAAACTTCCTGTAAAGCCATGATGCTCTTCATCACTGTGCGTATAACAGAAATCAAAATATCTGTCCCTGTGTGGCTAGCCTAGTCCCACCTCACTGCCGCCGCAGCCTGCATCTGAATGCTCTGCTGCAGATAGAAAGTAGGCTATAAATAAATACTGCGTAGCCACACTGGTAACGGTGCCAGTGCAGGCCCATTGAGGGACAGGACTGGTCTGCTCCAGAGCTGAACGTTCCCACCACTTCTGAGCAGTCATGGCTATTTTTTATGATTTTTCTGTACCCTCTTTTGTTCTCATGCTACCAGCTATCTGTGGAACTACCTCTAACAGTTCAGGTCCACCAATATTTATCAATCACCAACTACATATCAGGTTCCACAGAGATCCCTACTAATTGCTACATCTATGGGTTAAAAGAACACATGACCAATCTTGTTAAAATTGTGGGTAAAATCAGAGTTCCCAGGCCCTTTTAAGCTATGGGTCATCTCGTATAAGTAAAGTATATGAAATTTAGTGTAAGCTCTTAGCTCCTGGAAGATGACTCTTGTCTCTCTTCCTACTGTGAGCTAGTACCAGAAACAGAGTTGGTGACATTTGTGTTCTGGAAAGTTGAGGTTGCTGGGTAACTGAGGTGCTGCAGTATTAGACATGGTTCCTCTAGTTCTAGCGTTTCCTTCCGCTGTTAAAGACTAGTCATTCTCCATGTGTGGCTGAGCTGCAGGACTCGGCGGCATGGGTTCAGGCTGGGGTAGGGAACCCACAGGGAAGAGGCAGCATATTAGATAAGTATACCTTCCATGTTTTGAAGATTTATGTGTAAATGGAGCACCAAGTTACTTCTGTGAACCTTGTCTGATCTCCTTACTTCTGTGGGAGGTAGAAAGGACAGATTCTTTCCCCTTCATTTTACCAATGTGGCTCAAAGAGTTAGTGGTCTGCTATGCTGACAGAAGACAATGAAACTGCCTGGGTGAGAACCTGGGCACTGAAGCCAGCCTGTTGGGGTTCAATCCAAACTGTATGATCTTGGGCAATTTATTTAAGCCTTCTGCCTTAATTTTTTCCTCTGAGTAATATGGATAATAATAGCATCTACTTCATCAGTTTAAATGAGTGAGCTGACGTACGGTCTTCTGAGTGTTAGCTGTCCTCATGGGCTGAGGGTCAGGGAGAGGTATTAGAATTCAAAGCCCTGGGAGCAATGATGCTGACAGTAACCTTTTGAGGCATCAGCCCAGGCTCAGTGTGACAGGCTCCCACTGGCCACTTCTGCTCCCCCTCCCAGCTCTGACCTTCCACAGGAAGACTGTACCCTAATATCAGGCACAGGGAGCCATCAGTGGAGGAGAGGGGGCCTCTGGAGGCCTCTGGAGGCCACGAGGCCCACAGTGGCTCAGAGGGGGCCAGGGCAGTGTGTGGCAGGATGCTGCTCAGGAAGCTGCCTTCTTGCTGCTGCTTTTGCTGCTGCTGCTGCCACACCCTGCTCCCTCATACACCGTTAACTGCAGCATAGATCCTGTCCGGGGCCACTCCTTATTCCAGCTCTGCCCTAGGGAAGATCAGCCTAGGCATTCTGGTCTGGGACAGATGTCCTGGAGGTAAAGCCATGAGGGTCTCTTGGCCTTCTCTGGGCTACAGAGCAACCTAGATTTCCAAGCTTTCCTCCTTTCCCCAACCTTTCATTCTAAGTCAGAGTAGTGATGTGGTGACTCAACACCCTTGTCTCCCCCACTGAAACCGCCCATCCCTTGTGCGATTCCCTGCTGCCTTCCTGATGCATGGGATGGGCTGAGCCAGATCTGACTCCAGGGGCTTCTCTGGGCTGGGCCCACTCCCTCTTTGTAGAGAGAGGGAAAAAGAGGCACATAGTGCCCTCCCCAGACGGCCCTCTGCCCACTGTGTGTGTGGTCAGTACAGGCAAGAAGCACGTCACTGATATCAGAAAAGGCCACAGGTATCAGAAAAGGACCCAGGCAGGAAAAGCTGTTGACTGAGGCAAAGGGCCAGGCAGTCCTCGATGGAGCTGGGAGGGGGGCCCTGAAAAGTCACATTTTTCAGATCTAACCAGAAAGGTCTAGCTTTCCCCCATGAGCCACTGGGGAGAGCCAGAGCTTCCGTGGCAGAGGGGAAGGCTGAGGGGCAGCGGGAAAAGACCTGAGGGGATCCGGGGTCCAAACTGGGCTTGTAGGCTATGTGGCTTGGGCCAAGCCATTTAACCCGCATGAGCCAGCCAGGTGCCGTTCTGTGTGGCAGAAAGGACTTGACTTATGCCTGCACCGAGTTTTAAAAATTGAGCAAGGAACTGCCCAGCCCAGCCCTGTTGCCTCCTCAGAGGGTCCCTAAGGACTGGAAGGAAGAGGAGATGGATGAGGGAAGAGAATTAGCATTTGAATGCCAATGAGGTGCTGGGGACTTTATTACATTTAATCATCTTGTTTAATTTTCCTATTTAATTGGCACATTTATTAAATTTATCTCCAGGATGTAGATGGAGAAAATGAGGCTCGGAGAGGTAAAATGACTTGTCCATCCTTTAAACAGCAGAGTGAAGATCTGAGTTCAAGCTTGTTTGGCCCCCAAACCTGTGACCCCTTCCCTTCTTTGCCTCACATTGTCTCCTCCAAGTCCCATCCACTTGTTAGTCTTTCCTAAAAAAAGGTCCTGTTGTGGAGAGAGAGTCACTTGGAGGAGAAATCAGTCCTGGTACTCCCGCTATACGGGGGATCTCTCTCACCCACTGTGTTGAAGTTTGCAGAGAAATTATACTCCGGGCGGAGTACCCCCTTCATCTTCCAACATAAAAGGGTCAGTGGCCCAGGTCTCCTCCACAGTGAAGACAGAAAAACCAACCATTATTTTTGTGAGAAAACGTCTCTCTTCTCTTGAAACCATACCCCATCAACTTCCCTGGGGAAATTTCAGTCAATCTGCCCTCCCTGGAACCCGTTCCACTTGTTTTACTCCCTGACAATCTTCACTCACCCAAAAGGCATCTCTGAACTGAAGCTGGGGCATCATCCTCAGGCTGCCACGACAAAGCCTTCTCTTCTCCCACAGACAGGGCTGACTGAGGTCCAGGAGCCAGGAGCACTGCCCCACTCCTGACAGGGCTGGCTCAGGCTCGCTTGACTTGGCTGGTACTATCTGCAGCACTACAGACGGCACTCACAAGCCAGAGAGAGTTGTCAGAGGGAGGGAAAGGGCTCAATCTGCTTTGTTTGAGGCTAGAATCGGCAGCAAAATGAGGAAGAGTGTGCTCAGTGATGGGAGGGCGGGTCCTGGTTTCCGGCCCAGCCCCTTGCCAGCCCCACGGTGATGGAGGACCCAGTCCAGACTGTAGGGCTGAGCAGGGATGCCAGCCCAGGTAGAAGGCAGTGGTCAGCGGAAGAGGCACGTTGTTACATAGGCCAGATGGGCAGGCAGTCTGAGCCTGTGCAGAAAAGTTTGTACAGCCTCGCTGCTGGGGAAGCCATCAAGTCCCTCGCCCACAGGAAGTAGAGCTGCTATGTTCCCTTGTGAAGGTCCTCTGCCTGCCACCTGCAGCTCTGCTGCTATTCTCCACTTGCCCCCTTCTGATGTCCTCGTTGGGCCATTCTCAGAGGGCATAACCTTAGGGAGTTTGAGGGCACTGAAGGTGTGGGCGAAAAGGGGCCAGGAACTGTGATGCTATAGCCTATCGCCCCAGCATCACTCCAGACCAGGCACATAAATGCCAGACTCTCCACCCCTCACCAGTGAACCATTTGAGAGGAGATTCCTCAGGCCTAGGACATCACTATTATTCATTAAACCCTGGCTTCACAGGGCCCCAATCCACACCCTGCCCTTAAGAAGCTCATGGTATGGGGGCAGATATAGCTGTGTGCTGGGGTGCCGTAGGGACACCCCAGGTAAGAAGCTCATGGTGGGTGAGTGGGTAACTGGCCAAGATAGAACAGCTGGAGGCTTTATGGACACTGAACTTCTGTTCCCCAATCTCCAGATTAGACACTTTCTGCAACAAGAAGTACCCTCCAACAATGGAGTTTTCATGCTGGAAGACTGTTTAGACCAAGGAAGACAACATTACAAAGGTACAAATGTGGGAGTTTGAAAACCCAGGTTGAAGTAGTCCCTGTTTTGTCTGGGCCCTACTGTTCATTGATTGAGGGACCTTAACTGACCCTTCAACACTTCAGTTTCTGCATCTGCTATCCTCAGTCTTTGAAAGGGAGAAAGTATTGAGACCATTACTGGAATTTCTGGTTTGGTTGGGCAGGTGCTGGGAGCTCTATCATGTACTGCCTTGAGAAAAGCCCTGGACTGGAATCCCAGACACAGCTCTGAGGGGCCATGGCCTGCCCACTAAGCAGAAGATGCCAGTGGGGGTGGGTCAGTTGGCAAGAATGGATGAGTCAGCTTGTTCACAAATCAGCACTCTCACTGAGTATCCCCACTGATGGGGTCAGAGGTGGGGAACACTCAGACTTCTGAAATAGCTGCCAAAGAGAACACTTTGTGGAGAATTGCAGAGCAGTTGGGTTGCCCCCACCTCCAGAATCCTTTGTTGTGAGCTAATAAACATCTTCAGCACTGAAGGCACCTCAGTTGCTTACAACTGAAGACAGCAATGAACTCTGAAGGGGGAAAAACACCTCCTGGGTGGCTAATTGAGCTCAAAATTTATTTTATTTATTTTGGGGTTTAATATTTATTGTATATTTTTTCAATTACTATTTAGTCCCCTAACCTCCCCTAGCAATCACCACACTGTTGTTCATGTCCATGAATTCGTTTTTATTTTTACTCAATCCCTCCACCCCTTAACCTGCCCCTGACACTAGCTGTCATCTGCTCTCCATCTATGAGTCTGTCCCCATTTTCCTTGTTAGTTAAGTTTATTCATTAAACTCCACATATGAGTGAAATCATATAGTATTTGTCTTTCTCTGGCTTATTTCACTTAGCATAATTTTCTTCAGGTCCATCCATACTGTTGCAAAAGGTAAAATTTTCTTCTTTTTTATGGTTAAGTAGTATTCCACTGTGTAAATGTCCCATAGTTGTTGTATCCACTCATTTGCTGATAGACACTTGGGCTGATTCCATATCTTGGCAATTGTAAATAGTACTGCAGTGATCATAGGGGCACTTACGTTCTTTTGAATTAGTTCTTTTGGGTTCTTTTGGATATATTCCCAGAACTGGGATTACTGGGTCAAAAGGCAGATCCATTTTTAATTTTTTGAGGTATCTCCATTTTGCTTTCTTTTTTGATTGAATTTAGTTTATCTATTTTTCTTCTTATGATTTTTATTGTTGTTCAAGTACAGTTGTCTCTATTTTTCTCCCACCACTCCCTCCAGCCCCATCCATCCCCTCCTCCCACCCTCGATCCTACCCCACCTTTGGCTTTGTCCATGGGTCCTTTATATACGTTCCTTGACAACCTTTCCTTTTTTTCTCTTGTTAACCGCCCCCACCCCACTGCCCTATAGTCACTGTCAGTTCTTTATTTCCAAGTATCTGGTTGTATTTTGCTAATTTGATTATTTTGTTGATTAGCTTCCACTTACAGGTGAAATCATATGGTATTTGTCTTTCTCCACCTGGCTTATTTCAATTAGCATAATGCTCTCCAGATCCAAACATACTGTTGTGAAGGGTAGGAGTTCCTTCTTTCTTTCTGCTACATAGTATTCCATGGTGTAAAAATACCACAGTTTTTTTACCATACTGCTTTCCACAGAGGCTGCACCAATCTGCATTCTAACCAACAGTGCAAAAGGGTTCCCTTTTCTTCAGTTCTTCACCACACTTGTTTGTTGATTTATTGATGACAGCCATTCTGACAGGCGTGAAGATGATATCTCATTGTGATTTTAATTTGCATTTCTGTGATGATTAGTGACGTTGAACATCTTTTTATATGTCTATTGGCCCTCTGTATGTCCTCTTTAGAGAAATGTTTGTTCAGGTCATTTGCCCATTTTTAAATTAGGTTGTTTGTCTTTTTGGTGTTGAGTTTTGTAAGTTCTTTACAAATTTTGGATATTTTAACCCCTTATCAGATGTATTGGTGAATATGTTCTCCCATTCTGTGGGTTGTCATTTTAGTCAGTTGATGGTGACTAAATGGTCCTTTGCTGTGCAAAAAGTTTTTAGTTTGATGTAGTCTCATTTGTTTATTTTTTCTTTTGTTTCCCTTGCCTGAGGAGATATATCTGATAAAATATTGCTATGAGCAATATCTGAAATTTTACTGCCTATGTTTCTTCTGTGATTTTTATGGTTTCAAGTCTAAAAAACTAAGTCTTCAATCCATTTTCAATTTATTCTTGTGTGCGGTGTAAGAAGGCAATCTGGTTCCATTTTTCTGCATGTTATCTGTCCAATTTTCCCAATGCCATTTATTGAATAGATTGTCTTTAGCGCACTGTATGTACTTGCTTCCTCTGTCAAATATTAATTGGCTATAAAGGTGTGGGTTTATTTCTGGGATCTCTATTCTGTCACATTGATTTATGTGTCTGTTTTTATGTCAGTATCATGCTGTTTTTATTACTATGGCCCTATAGTATAGTTTTGTATTAGGTAGCATGATTCCTCCAACTTTGTTCTTCTTTCTCAGGATTGCTGTTGCAATGCAGAGCCTTTTGTGGTTTCATATAAATTTTTAAAATATTTGTTCTAGTTCTGTGAAGTACTATATTGGAGTCACTGATAAGAATTGCATTGAATCAATAGAATGCTCTGGGTAGTATGAGCATTTTAATTATGTTAATTCTTCCTATCCACAAACACGGTATGTGCTTCCACTTCTTTGTATCTTCTTCAATTTCTTTCTTCAGTGTCATAATTTTTCAAGTACAGGTCTTTTACATTCTTGGTTAGATTTATTCCTATTTTATTTTATTCTTTTTGTAGTAATGCTGAATGAGATTGTTTTCTTAATTTCCCTTTCTGTTAGCTCTTTATTGGCATATAAAAGTGAAACTGATTTCTGAATATTAATGTTATATCCTGCTACTTTGCTGAATTCCTTTATCAGCAGTTTCTTGGTGGAATCTTTGCAGTTCTCTATGTACAGTTTCATGACATCTGCAAATAATGACAGTTTTACTTTTTCCTTTCCAATTTGGATGCCTTTTATTTCTTCTTCTTGTTTGATTGCTGTGGCTAGGACTTCACTACTATGTTGAATTAGAGAGGTGAAAGCAGATATCCCTGTCTTGTTCCCAGTCTTAAGGGGAGCACTTATAGTTTTTGCCCTTTGAGTATGATGCTGGCAGTTGGTTTGTCATATATGACCTTTATTCCGTTTAGGTTTTTTCTCTCTATTCTCACTTTGCTGAGAGTTTTTAATTTTTATCATGAATGGGTGCTAGATTTTATGGAATGCTTTTTCTGCATCTATCAATCTGATCATGTGGTTTTTATCCTTCATTTTATGTGGTGAATCACATTTATTGATTGGCAAACATTGTACCAACTTTGCGTTCCCGAAACAAATCCCACTTGATCGTGGTGTATGATATTTTTGATGCATTGCTGTATTTGGTTTGCTAATATTTTGTTGAGAATTTTAGCATCTATGTTCATCAGGGATATAGGCCTATAATTGTCTTTCTTTGTAGTGTCTTTATCTGGTTTTGGAATTAGGATAATGCTAGCCTTGTGAAATGGTTTAGGAGCCTTCCCTCCTCCTGAATTTTATGAAATAGTTTCAGAAGGATAAATGATAGTTCTTCTTAGAATGTTTGATAAAATTCACCTGTGAAGCCTTCTGGGGCTTTTGTTTGTTGGGAGTTTTTTTGATTACTGCTTCAATTTCACTAGGTGTAATCTTTCTATCCTGATTCTCTGATTATTCATGATTTATTCATTTCATCTCAGTTGTCCAGTTTTTCGGCATTTAGTTGTTCATAATATATTTTTTATAATCCTGTGTATTTCTTTGGTGTAAGTTGTTATTTCTCCTCTTTTATTTACCATTTTATTTATTTGGGTCTTCTCTCTTTTTTTTCTTGATGAGTCTCACTAAAGTTCTATCAATATTGTTTATCTTTTCAAAGAACCAGGTCTTGAATTCATTGATTTTTTGTATCATATTTTAGACTATTTTATTTATTTCTGCTGTGGTCTTCATTATTTGTCCCTTCTACACACTTTGGTCTTTGTTGTTCTTTTTCAAGATCCTTTAAGTGTGAAGTTAGAGTGTTTACTTGAGTTTGTGTGTGTGTGTGTGTGTGTGTGTGTGTGTGTGTG